GTAGTAGAAACACTTGGTGGATCGTTCGGGGGGAGCGGAAATGTTCACGCATTTGGTATCAAGAGAAACAGCGCTATCTCAGTATCTCTAAAAAGTTTCACCAACTTGAAAATGTCTGATGGCATTTGAGCGTTTGTTAGAAGACGACATTCGGAAAAACTAAGCGATGGCAGCAGCTGATACAACTGTTACGATATGGCAAAACCACATAACAGATAATGAAAGTTGCACTTGCGATTTGAAGGCAGCTTTTACGTTTTCATCACCCAGATGAGCCCATCTTTCAGTGTAGCCACAACTTGGAGCTTTAAAAAAACTTTTGAATATGTCTTGCTCCATTTGCAGCTCTCAAAAATATCAGGCTGAAGAGGATTTCATTTGTAAAAGTTTCATGCCATGAGTATTCAGTAAGACATTGTATCTTTATTGTGTGAACTTCATAGAGCTCACAGCTTCGTAGAGTATAAATCAAACAAAAATATCAAACCAATTTTGGTAATAGCTCATTGGTTACTAACAACTAGAATCCAGCTGAACGTACTTTTGATTCTAGCCGAGAGGACCTGAACCACTTATCTTCAGGTTTATTATAATACTTGGATTATAAACAGGTTGCAGGAATAAAGCGGTATCTGTAAGATCTTACGCTTTCGTAGTAGAGCTTGAACTGCACCGATTATTCGACTACAGGCAATTAATAGTGGTGATAAATTACAAAGGAATATGGAGAGTGGTACAGCTAGGATGTGTTTGTGAGAAATGTAGTTAATCCGAATCAGGGTCAAGCAATTATCATTCATCAAGGTTAGCGTAGTTGTGGCTATATAAGGTGCGAATCGCCGAATCGAATATCACCGACATGGAGGGCGAGTGGCAGAATCGTTGTCAAGCTTATCGCTTCGTAGCCTATTCGGCGGTCACGTTCTCGATTATCGCCATCGTAGGCGCTGCCACCACTCTGCCTATGGTGTACAATTATGTACACCACGTCCGGCGCACGATGCAGACCGAACTGAGCTTCTGCAGAGTAAGTTTTTTTGATACTTTTAGTTTCTCAATAAAAAAATTTGAATTTTTTCTTTAGACCTCTGCTCGCGAGATCTGGTCCGAAGTCGGTGGCATGAAAGCACCTTCCAACCGTACTGCTCGTCAAACCAATGACTGCACTGCTTGCT